GTTAAAATAAGTATTTTTCCAAAGAAAACATACACATGGTAGACAGACATGAAAAGATGCTCATCATCACTGATTATCAGGAAAATGCAAATTAAAACCACAATACAATATTGCTTTGCAACTGTAGACAAAAAATATCAAGTGTTGGCCAAGATATGTAGTAAAGGGAACACTGTACACTGTTGATGGGATGTAAATCAGTACAGCTATTGTGGAAGACAGTATGGAGTTTCCTCAAGAAAATGAAAATAGAACTATCATAAAAAAATAAAAAAATAGGGACGCCTGGGTGGCTCAGTGAATTAAGTGCCCAACTCTTGATTTTGGCTCAGGTCATGATCTCAGGGTTGTAAAAATGAGCCCCATCTCAGACTAGCTGAGCATGAAGCCTGCTTAAGATTCTCTCTCTCCCTCTCCATCTGTCCCTCCCACACACTTGCACTCTGTCTCTCTCAAAAAATAAAAATAAAATAAAATAAATAAAAAATTGAACTATAATATGATCCATTTATCCAATTTTGAGATATATATCCAAAGAAACTAAAGCTGTCATCTCAAAGAAATACCTGTAACCCCATTTTATTGCAACATTGTTTACAAAAGCCAAGGTATGGAAACAACCAAAGTGTCTATTAACAGTTCACCTAATAAAGAAAATACAGTGTGTATATATATATGTGTGTGTGTGGTGTGTGTATAAAATGGAATACGATTCAGCAACCAGAAAAAGGAACTTTTGTGATTTACAGTAATGTGGATAAAGCTGGAGGGCATTGTGCGAAGTTAAATAAGTCACAGTGCAAAGGACAAATACTGGATGATATTACTTATGAGTGGAATTAAAACAAAACAAAACAAAAACAAACAAACAAACAAAAAACACCTAACTCCTAGAAACAGGGTAGAAAAGTGGTTTCCAGGGGCTGGAGGGTAGGGGAAATAAGGAGAGGTTGGCAAAATGGTACAAAATTTCAGTTATAAGACGAATAAAGTCAGAGAATCTATTATGTAACCCGATAGGTGTTAAGGTGATAACACTGTATTGTATGGTTGAAATTTGATGAGAGTGTAGAACTTGAATGTCCTCACCATAGACAAAAAATATGAGGTGATAAATGTGTTAATTAATTCAATGGGGGAAATTCTTTAGCAATGAGTGTGTATATCAAATCCCCACATGGCACATTTTAAATATCTTACCATTTAATTTTTCAATGCTACCTCAATAAAGCTGAAAATGTATCATAAAATATTTTAGTTATGATCTGAAGTTTATTTATTAGTAAAATAATATTTGTTCACTCAGAGTACTTCCTATCCATTCCAACTAAAATCTATGCAGTATATGCAAGTATGTATTCCATTAGCTAATGTAAAACCTTCCAATGGAAATTCTTAGAGGAATATTTTTCTCCTTCTTGAATTAATTAATCTTAAAATATGATTTTCTAGGTTAGTACTCTTCCATGTATCTCAAAAACCAGGAACAAAATGTTTATGCCAGTTAGCAAAACTGCACCAGATATTTTGCCTGTATGTGTGTCTGTGTGTGTGTATGTCTATTTTCATGCCTCTGTATTTATTCATTTCTATTCAATTCATCTTTTATTCTGTTTTCTGTCTTTATTGTTGGACACATTTCTTTTCTAAACAAAATTTACTGACAATTTTTAGTTGTGCATTGTAATTACTGTCAAATGAATTTCAAAGAAGTTGTTGTTTTTCCTTATCCCTTAATTTTCATTTCTTTAAGCAGGATAAGCAGTATTCTGAAGACATCTGTTCATTTCAAGGAGATCCTGAGAGAGTAGCTAAAATTTGGTTCTAAAAAGTAGTAATAGTACAAAAGAGTTTAATTGCGTAATATTGCAGTATGTGTGTAGGTGGCAAATTCAAGCAAATCCTAGATTTCACTTCGATGCGAAAAGCTTTAAGTCTATCAATTCAGGGGCACCTGGGTGGCTCAGTGCATTAAATCTGTCTTCCGCAGAGTTCATGATCTCAGGGTCCTGGGATTGAGCCCCACATCTGGCTCCCTGTGGGCTCTCTGCTCAGCAGGGAGCCTGCTTCCCCCTCTCCCTCTGCCTGCCTCTTGGCCTACTTGTGATCTCTTTTTCTCTGTCAAATAAGTAGATAAAATCTTAAAAAAAAAAAATAACAAAAAAAAAACCCTCTATCAATTTAGATTGTTGGATAAAGTAATAATGATCCAAAACTCAATCATGATCAGTTGGAAATAGAAGTAAATTTTCATTCAACTAACAAACACCATTTACCTTGTCTACTTAACATTTTAAGATTAATTTCCTCTAATGAGAAAGAAACATTAATGAAGAGAATTTCAGGATTTCAGATGTCAGAATACTTATCTCTCCCATCTGTACAATTAATTGTGATTTATAAAAGTGAATAAATTATTGTGATGATAGTTTGTCTTTTTTAAGAGGTGTTAAAACTTGCTAAAAAGTAGAAGTTATTATGAATAAACTTCCTGATGAAGCTACAGAGACATGGATTTTAGTAATCAGAAAGTCTTATATATTCTGTTAATTACCATCTTTTCCTCTCTTTGTGCTCTGAGTACAACTGAAGGGCTGGAGGAGTTGATCAAGCACAGTCTTGTGGCTAATTGAGCAATACTGTCTGAATCATTTAATAGTTAATTATTTTTTTTTCTTCTGCATTTGACTAAAATTGCTCCAGCTAGGGCAGTTCTCAAAGATTTATTCAAAATCAGCACTTTTCTAACATGTGAAAGTCAAATGTAATTTTTAAAAAGTAAATTAAAAACTTTGTTAAAAGCTTGCAAGAACAGCCCATTTCTGCATGTAGGTTTCTTTCAGGAAAGTATAATCTTCATTTTGAAAATTTGCAAATTCAGAGAAAAAAAATGCATATATTAAATTAGAAGACTTTCATTTAAATTATTCTGGTAAAGCATGTAGCTTTTCCCTAGAAATGTACTTGAGAAAGACTTTTCATACCAGATTTAAAAACTTCTGTTTTCACATGACTTTGCATTCACAGCTTTATTTTCTATTTCAACAAAAGTGACTTTAAACATTATTACATGCTATATGGTGCACTAGATATTGAAACACAAACTACAATAACACCAGGTCATTGTCCTCAAGGACTTCAGAGATAGTTGGAACAACTAGCATGTAAACACAAATAATATGCATTCAAGTGATAGCTGAGTAACAGTGAACTCTAAGGAGTTATTGATCATGAAAATTATTTGTTTTTCCAGATTAGATGGCTCTTGAAATGAGGGGTGGACAAATAACTGATACTCTAGAAAATAGTATATGGATTTTAGGCATCCTTATAAGAGGAAGCAACATATAAAATTGTTTTGTGATTAAGTAATCGTAAGATAAAGCCATGAAAAATGTTAAAACAAAGCACCATGTTTTAAAAAATAAAATTTATATATAAAGCTAAATTACCAATATTAAAATGAAATATAGTTATGCTCAAGTATAGAAATATATATTACCCTCTCTAAAAACTGTTTTAAAAATATTTTCTAGGGGCGCCTGGGTGGCTCAGTGGGATAAAGCCTCTGCCTTCAGCTCAGGTCATGATCTCAGGGTCCTGGGATCGAGTCCTGCATCGGGCTCTCTGCTCAGTAGGGAGCCTGCTTCCTCCTCTCTCTGCCTGCCTCTCTGCCTACTTGTGATCTCTGTCTGTCAAATAAATAAATAAAATCTTTAAAAATATATATATTTTCTAACATCTTCCAAACAAGAGCAATGTTATGAGATATTTGGAATTTTCAAACAGATTCTTTAAAGTCCTTTGCACTACCCAAATGAGAATTAATATCATCATTCATTCTGTGCTTCAATCTTAGAACATTTTTATTTAGTAAACCATACACATAGGAGAAATCAGAAAAAAAAAATTCTGTGAATAATGTAGCACACCCTTGGCTATAAGTCTATTAATAAGAGAGTGGAATATGGTAAAATCAATGCACTCATTGTTATATTTTTAATATTTACTTAAATATTAAATATAATATAATAATGTTAATTAGAATTGCCTGGAGTGTTATCATGTGCCATCCTTTATTCACTTTTATTCTTCACTTCACCCTCCCAAAATAGCTGTAAGATTGAAGTGTAGCAATAAAATACACTCTGAACACAATAGTCTATATGTGTTTAGAGAAAGGAAATATATTTTCTTATATGGTCATGGATATGTCCTTTGCCATAGATCTTCAAGTATTGTTGTTGTTGTTGTTGTTGTTGTTGTTTTTAATAAGCCAGTGAAAGGGATCGGGGTAGAGAAAAATTTCAGTTTGCAAGTTAGGTATGAACAAAGTCAGATGGTCAAAAAAATGTGGTGATGACTTGAGGTGTTTAAATAGAACTCCCATCCTCATACATTTTATAGTTCTGATGAATCCATATATCTAACATGAATAAATAATAACAATAACAAGCTTAATTATACATCTAATATATATAACATGAATTTTGATAGAACTATAACATTTTGGGATAGGATATTTAATAACGTTACCAGTGAGGGGGCTTGGATAGGATATTTTTCCTTATGATATTCTGAAGTAAACATTTCCCTCTGTTGCCCATATAAATCATCTTCATATACTGAAGCTCCTCTGTTACAAACTCTTTTACCTTCTGTCTATCTCATATATTCAGTCATATTTTAATTGGTAATCTTACCAGTTTGGAAAACAGAAATTGAATATTATGGACAAAGAAGATTCAAAAATATATTTTTGAGATGAACATTTAGAGAAGCTCATAAATTAACACAATTATTGCATCATACAAAAACAAAATTTAAAAAAGCCATACAGATGCAATATTTCAAGGCTGTCAAAGTAGTAATGATTAAAAAGTCAAACAAAACACCCTTGTTATTTCATAATAATTTAAACTTTAATAAATTATGTTTTCTTCTTAAAATACAGGAACTAAATACATATTTTTCTCTAAATATTTTATTTTCCTTTTTAGGTGGTGCAAACATCTACTATTCACGATGTTAAACAAAAATTCCACAAAGAATGTAAGTTTTATATATAATTCAGAATTTATGTTACAGTTTTCTCAAATTAGTTCAAATGTATCTGTAAGAATAAGTTCCATATTAGAATAGAAAAGTGTATGGAAACCATATTTTTATAGGAAACTCAGAAATAATATGGTATATACCTCCTGACTGTGAGCATTTTCATATCTAACTCTAATCTACAATACTCTTATTTTTTCACAAAATTATTTTCTCCTTCATATTTGAACATTTATGTTATATCAGGAAACATTCTATTTATGAGAGATGTTATTGAGACCAAGTATTTACTTATATGTAAGGAAAATATTAATCAAAAATTTTACTCCATGTATTTATACTGGCCAAATCTCTTTTACATTGGAATTCTTTATACAGTAAATTAAAACTACATTATTTACTTTTATTAATAGCTAAATTTACCTCATTAAGAGGTCTATTTGTTATTTACTTAGAAATATTTATATGATGTTTATTTAAATTAGATTTTTACTTTATAATTTTCCGATAAAGTTTATTCTTAACTTAAAGTCAAACCAAAAACAAAGTCAAAAAATGCAGGGAGACCAGAAATCAAGATCAGTGAAACCACCTAAGAGAAAAAAGAATGGAGATAAAAGACAAATAAGGAGAACTCTCCCTCCTGGAAACCCAGTCCTCTGATGACTGTGTTTCCTTCTTTACAAGATTAATAATTCCTATTATAACTCCAGGACCTGCAAATAAACAGTATCAGAGGTATCATAATAAAAAATTTATTCTATGTCAGAAAGTAAAGAAGTAAGTTTATAAAAAATCTAACAATTGTAGTTACATACATAAGACTACTATTATTTGAACATACTTATGAAACTTAACACGATATTCAATGTTATTGGGTTTTAAATATCCTAAACATAAAATATTAAGGCAATCAAGCATAACTTTGTTTTGTTTCATTTTTACCATTGTAAATTGTTAGTATTAGTACCACTTTTCTGCTTGCTTTTTATTATTTGGTAGATACATTAAACAGAATCTCCAATTGATTGCCTGAGGGTAGGGAAATAGGGAGATGGATAAAGTAGGTGAAAGAGATTAAGAAGTACAATCCTCCATTTATGAAATAAATAACACATGGAGATGTGTTATACAGCATAGGAAATATAGTTGACATAAAAGCATTGTATGGTGACAGATGATAACTTTATTTCTCGAGGTGATCATTTCATAATATATATAGGTATTGAATCAGTATGTTGCACACCTGAAAATGATGTATTATGTGTCAGTTATATTTTAATAAAAAAAGAAATACAGTATTCAAACAATTTTCATTCGTTGTATTTCACTTCAAAAACTTATTGGTTTTTAAGTTTTACAAAGCACAAAAACATTTTTTGCTGTGTTGCATTACAGAGAATTATGTGTAAGTCAATCAAATTGGAGATTCTGTTTAGCTTTTCATTTTTCTTAGTTCTATTTTCAAACTTTCTTTACTGTGATTTTCTTGCCCTGTAAAGTGACTATATTTTCCTCTTCCTGGTATTGTAATTTTTTGGTTCAGCTTTGTTTTAAGAGTCATCTTTTAGATTACCCTGAGGGTACCACAGCAGTCAGACTAGTGAAGAAATAGAATAGGAAGGAAACCACAATTAAAATATTAGCTGTTAAAATAAGAGGGAAAGAACAATGGTTTCATGAAAAAGAGATTCTAATGAAACTTTAAATTATATGTGTTCACATATATGAAATTTCATTTATTTCTTTTCTTCTCCTTTGTAATCTCCAAAAAAATTATGAAATGCCTCAGCTGCAATACTGTCTTTCTGTACCTCCACACATGCCTCTATTCATACTTGGAATGATTGTTCTTGCTTGTATCTTGAAGCCTCTCCTAGAGACTCTCAGAGACCATCACATTCATGGCCCTATAGGACATGCTCTGTTTACTCTCATTTTCTCACAAAGGTTGTGCAGAAGAATTAAATCTTGTTAGGGCTGAGCTGAAAAATTAAGAATCATGGAAGTCTAGGTGACACTCTGACTAAAATTCTGTAAATATTTTACAAGATTTCAAGAGATTTAATATAAACCAACTCTATGTTAAAAAACAAACTCAGGGCACCTGTGTGGTTCAGATGGTTAAATGTCTGCCTTCGACTCAGGTCATGATCCTGGGGTCCTAGGGCAAGTCCCACATCTGGGTCTCTGCTCGGAAAGGTCTGCTTCTCCCTCTACCCTTCCCCCCTGCTCATGATCTATCTCTGTCTAGCTCTCTTTCTGTCAAATAAATAAAGTATTTAAAAAAACTCTATTACATATTAAAGCTGAGTAGCATAACCTTATTTCATGTTACTCAAATCAACAATTATTCCATGATTTCTTTATTTTAAATTTACTTTTCATTCTCTTTCATTCTCTTTCTAAAGTACAATATGACTTTATTAGAACAATTGTTAAAATTTTGGAACATTATAGGACTTATAAAAAGCCACAGGCAACTGTGTATGTACTAATTTAAATCTGTAATGTTATATTCCACTTTGTGGCTTTGATCAATCAACAATCAAAATGTTTGCCAGAATAACAAGTAATTATAGTGGAAAAATTCTGCCCAAATGTTACAAGTTATTTTCTTGTGCTTTATCACACTCAAAAGTATTTAAAAGTATTATCTAGAAACTTTTATTTAAAAGTATTATTTTAAAACTTTTAAAACTATTATTTAAAACTTTTATTTAAAAGTATTATCTAGATTTCCTTAGAAGACTGATGGATGCAATAGCATGGACAAAATAGAAGACATATTAATAAATAGAATTTAAAGATTTTTAAAAGCAAAGGTCTAGTGAATATATGCTTTCAGAATTCTGTCATTACTTGTCTTAGGAAGGAAGCCAAGCAATCTAAAGCAGAGATTAGACAATACCATTACTGTACAAAGTTGTATAAAGGCAGGATTTCATCTAAATAGTTTTAAAAAACATCTTTTTTTTTTCAAATCTTTAAAAACTTTTATTGGTTTTGTAGCTAAAAGTGATTTGCCATCACAACAAGATAAGGTGCTCTGAATACTATTATAATTTCATGCATAATCTCTAAAAGAACTAGCCATCAACCACTTAATGTGAATGATGACTTCTGTGATTGTTTGGTGAAGGTAAATACCATAGTTATAATTAAAATGAATGAGGAAAAAACTCTCTAAAGATCTGGTATACAAGGGAAGCCATTTTATCTTTCTTTCTAGGTTAATAGAACTGTATATAAACTTCATTTAAACCAAAGGCTGATTAATGGCCTCCATAAGCATACCTTGTACACCTGCTTATAAATGAGTAGCCTAAGGGAAAACTATCTATTCCATGGGTATCAATCAATGCTCCTACTGCCTGAATTCCTTAACATTAAAATTTGTGATTCCTGCCTATATGCTAATCTATAATCTTCTGAACTTTTACAAGAAGTACAAAGTATATAACCATACAAAAACTCTTCATTCTCCAGAGCAATTTCTTTCCTGTGAAGAGCATGTTTCCCTGGCAACTATCCTAACTTAGGCTCAAATAAAACTCTCTTTCTAAAAAAAAAATTAAGTATGTATATATGTGTATATATTTATAATTTATATATATATTAATTATAATTTATATATATGTATATATATGTGTGTGTGTATATATATATGTAGAATTCTTCTCCTGAAGTCAACATTGCACAATATGTTCACTAACAAGAATTTAAGTAAAAATTTATATATAAATAAATATATATACATATATGTGTGTGTACACACACACACATATCCTTTCTTTTAGTACTGTGGTATATCATGTTGATTGATTTGTGAATATTGAACTAGCATGCAGTCCAGGAATAAATCCCACTTGATCAAGGTGAATAATTCTTTTGAATGTACTATTGGATATGATTTGCTAGTATCTTTTGGGAATTTTTGTATCCATGTTCATCAGTGGTATTGACCTGTACTTTTCCTTTTTAGTGGTGTCTTTGTCTGGTTTTGGAATCAAGGTAATGCTGGCCTCATAGAATGAGTCTGGAAGTTTTCTTTCCACTTATATTTTGGAGAAGAGGTATTAATTCTTCTTTAAATGTCTTGTATAATTCCCCTGTGAAGCCATCTTGCCCAGGACTTTTGTTGGGAGAATTTTGATTACTGATTCCATTTCTTTGCTGATTATGGGTCTATTAAGATTTTGTATTTCTTCCTGTTTCAGTTTTGTTAATTTGTATGTTTCTAAGAATTTGTCCATTTCTTCCAGATTGCCCAGTTTGTTGGCGTATAATTTTTCATAATATTCTCTTATAATCATTTGTATTTCTTTGGTGTTGGTTGTGATCTCTCCTCTTCCATTTGTGATTTTATTTATTTGGGTCCTTCCTCTTTTCTTTTTGATAAATCTGGCTAGGGTTTTATCAGTTCTATTACCTGTTTTGAAGAACCAGGTCTTAGTTTCGTTGATCTGTTCTACTTTTCTTTGTTTCTATATTATTTCTTTCTGCTCTAATCTTTGTTTAAAACTCTTATGTTTTAGAGACTCTAAAAGTTTTGTTCATTTAACATTGACAAATCCACAGTTTTAAAGTTGGTGAGATATAAAATCTAATGAACATTTGAAAAATATTGAATGGGATTCAACCTTTATGTAATAACAAATTGCATAAGATTTGTTAAATGTTTTCAGAGTTACATCAATGTTTATTTTTTCAAAGCTTATATCAAAGTTTGTATATAATTGATAAGATTAACCATGTGAGATTTTGATTAATATGAGCATTTGTACCAAACACTTGATGAATAGTTTCTTTCTAGATAATTCATCAGAAATATTTTGGATCCTTATTTGACACTAAGGTTTGAACACTTCTTCTTCTTCTTCTTCTTTTTTTTTTTTTTTTTTTTGGAAAATTGTAGGTAGTAAATGCTTTTTAGTGTTTCTAGATCATGTTTCTTTTTAAATTATCAGAAAAAATTAGGATGCTGTGACATTTTG